CCGGAAGATGACGGGGGGGGGGGGCTCGGGGGGGGCCCTGAGGTGGCCGCCTCCTGGGCCCCCCAGGAGAAGAGGCTGGCCCTGTGGGTACATACCGGGTCGCAGGGGCGGCCGGGCCCCCTGGTGGGCCGGGCCCGGTCGCAGCCGCGACCCTGGTATGTACGCCACTGAGTAGAAGGCTATGTACAGTTACACGGTAATATACTATGTACAGTTACACAGAAGAATGTTATGTACAGTTACACAGAAGAATGTTACGTACAATTACACAGAAGAGCATTTGGTACGGTTACACAGAAGAACGTATTGTATGTTTACACAGAAGGATGTTATGTACGGCTGCGCAGAAGAAGGTTAATTACAGTTACACAGAAGTGTGTTATGTGCTATTAATCTGAAGACGTGTTATGTACATCTTATCTGAAGAGCGAAAGGTACATTTTATCGGAAGAATGGAATGCGCAGTTCCTCACCTGTACATCTCTGAAGGTCCTGACTTGTCTGTGCCCCAGGACTTGGCCGGCTTTGTCCGTGCTTTACTGATTGGCCTGCTCTGCCTGTGCCCCATTGATTGGCCTGCTTTGTCTGTGCCCCATTGATTTGCCTGCTTTGTCTGTGCCCCATTGATCTGGCCTGTGCTGTCTGTGCCAGAATGTCTGCATGCCACGCCTACTGCCACATACTCACGCTTGTGCATTGCATGCGCTGCCCAACTTGCTTCAGTCACTATATGGGGTGCTGCCCCTATCTCCCTGCCGGTGACACTTGTCCTCTATACTCCTTGAGGTTGCTTTGCCTGGGACCGCTGCACAGGAGAACCCTTATCCGGGTTAACAGCGCAGACAATGACTACTATGGCAGTGACCGCCTCCTTGGAATTAGGCTTCAGCCAGGGTCCTCCCTTAAGCTTATCAGGAGCGTAACGCTAGAGGACCCACCTTTGAAATGGCAGGTGACTTGAATGAGTCAGACTTTCCTAGAGGAGAACAGGCAAGGGCACATAAGCGCTACTGGAAGGGTGAAGGCCCTGAACCAGTGACTTGAATGAGTCAGACTCTCCTTGAGGAGAGCAGGCAAGTGCACATGAGCGCTACTGGAAGGGTGAATGCTCTGAACCAGGCTTCCAGAAAGATAAGATTCCGAGGAGCGGCTAGCCCCTCAGATGACCTTGCCGATATGGCGCGGGGGAGGCGATGACCACCGGACGCGGCAGTAACCACCTTCTTAAAAAGGCAAACGACTTGAAGGAATCAGACTCTCCGAGTGGAGAGCAGGCAAGGGCGCATAAGCATTACAGGTAGGGTGAAGGCCCGGAACCAGACGCCCGGAAAGATTAGACTCCGGAGAAGTGTCTGTAACGGATCACCTGGCACCCCGACTGGGTACCTCCGTTGAAGGATGGTCCTAGCGCTTCCTGAGGACACCAAGCACTGCAGCAGACACCACAACCACCGCAGACTCCGCAACCGCTGTATCTTGACTGGAGTCTCGCCATCTTCCTTCCACCCTGGATCAGCTTCTGTCCTCCAGGACTGTGTGGGAAAGAACTCTTCCTTCCACCCTGTATGAACCTCCAGCATCCAGGACTGTGTGGTGAAGACTCCTCCTCCAAGGAGAGCGTGTCAGGAACAAGCTCTTAAAAGAGCTAAGTGATTGAAGCTCAAGGGAGCATGCAGAGCATAGCAATCCGCAGTGTGAATATAACAGCTCCCTCCAATAACAAGACAAGGCTACATTTAGAGGGATCAAGAAGAACTGGCTAAACCTTTATTTCCCTTGGGACCAGCCCATAGGGTCACCACATTAACATTGCTGTGACAACTCAATAAAATCACAAACAGTCAAACCATAGCAGGCAACACACAGTGACATCACAATACAATAGCACATTTTTAAAGGGGTGGGGGAGCCAATATTTAACAGAAAATATCTCACGTGCCTGCAGAATTAGCAATATGCAAATCTACCCGAATATGCAAATGAACCAATTTTGCTATTCAGGTAGTGCATATTGCTGTTGCTACCAACAGAGGGCACTAGACAAGCTCCATAGCCAAACCCACCTAGTTGGTAGCAAACCTCAGCAGTACAGGAGAGCAGGCAATACATTACACAGTACACACACACACTATAAACAATTACATTATACACACCCTGCACCTATAATGGGTACAGGGTGACTAAAACATAAGAGAAATAAAGCAACCTACATAAATAGTCTGTCTGAAGATAGAATAGGAGCTTTAAAGCCAAATACATCAAAGAGTCATAATCACAGGGGAGGAGGCTAGCAAGCATGCCTCTCCAGGATCAAGTGGCGAAGGGCACTTCGTCCCTGATACGATCGGCCTTGATGGCCAAACGACACTGCCTATGTGGCGCAGGGGTGAAGGTCCACTATCATGGCCGCCCTAGCTGAATGGCGGGTGGACCGGTTTCCTCGGAGGGAGAGGATTATGGGGGTGTGGATTATAATGAAGGCCCCTAGTGGCACCATGAGATGTAGAACAAAGTCCACAACAGGGGGCCCAACGACCGTGGAAGAAGAGGTCGTCTCGTGGATCGCCTTAAACAAACCCCTGTTCAACCCTCGATCCATTGCTCACCTGGTTTCTTTGGAATGGTCTCTGCCCTATCACCTAGCACCATTGGTGCGTTTTTGGGCCTGTAGACTGCTGGCTTGAGAAGCCCACAGGATAATTTGAGCGGTATTCCCAGCCGGGCTCCCGAACAAAGTAGCCACAAACCCAGACTTAGACCCCGATGGGGCACTGCGGTTTTGCTGATTAAGCACCTGTCTAGTATTCAGGAGATCCTGAGTGTGGCCCACTGCAGGGCCTATACTATTAAGTCCGCCCTGGCAAGCCAATTGTTTTCCGCTACACGAGTGAGTTGTGCTAGTGGAACATACGAGGAAGTATAATATGTGTCCTTTTTTACATGGAAATACCTGATGGAGGCTTATCTCAACTCCAACCCATACCTTTTATAGGGGATTGGACCCTTGAACCGGAATTTCACACTTGCCTCCACTTTCAGATCACATCCCAGACGGGGCCCAGAGTCTGGGGTGGCAGACGACCCTATCCTAAACGCAATTTGGACCGCTGGAGGTGCTTGGGATAAAGGGACCTGAGCCCCTCAGAGTCCCAGCATGAGTCTACAATTGAACGTATATTCATTAGTTACTTTGAATTACACGCGGCCCTCAAGAAACTTCTAGGGACCATGGGGCCCAGTTCTGGTAAGGTGGCCTCTATTTTCTCCCTGGTGAGATAGGTATCTTGTGCATCAGTCATTTGGCCGACAATACAAGCTGGTTGTCAGGTTGGGAGGAATTGAGGACATTCAGGAATACCAGAACTATCTGAAGAGATCTTTCTCGTTTTCCACACGTTGGGATCCGGACACGACTCTTCATCGATATAGGACATCTTGCTGTACGGTCTACCTGAACGGGCTTGCCGGACCCTCTGCGAGGTACCTCCCAGACCGAAAGGTAAGACGCTCCCTGCATTTTCCCTTGTTCGAGTCCCTGGATTTCGTTTTCAACCAGGGAAATATCGACCTCCTCTACATCTCATGGAGTAGAGTCCTGGAGGGCTGATTGGACGCAAGGGGGTGCCTCCTACGCTCTCCTCTTCCCAAGTTCTCATACGTGTGGAATAGTTTCTCTGGGAGGACCCGGCGTCAAGACTTTAGTCCACGGAGGAGGACCCATCAGGCCCCGACCAGTTTGGCTGGATGACGGACCCGTTTGCACAGCGATGAACACTTCCAGGAGTGTTCAACACGGAGACGTGGACGAGTCTCCTCCGTTTGTTTGGTCTCACGACCTTTCTACAGGTGCCTCGGTCTGCTGGTACTTTGGAATTATGATCTCCGCTTCGGCAGAGTCGAACCTAGTTCCTGGATTCCCTGGACCCTTGCTCATTTGATCTCAGGGATTGTGAGACTTTGGTCTGCATGGCAACCCTTATGTAGTTGGGTCTGGTACGGATCTCCTAATTTTGCTACCGCTTTTACAGGGTTCGGGTATTGTTTGGTCACTTTATTACCAGGGACTGCAATATTACTTAGATTAGGTAGCGCGTACGACTGTTGTCAGCAGGCCTCGCTCTGCTTAGAATTCCCTTTACGATTCCTGAGCACGGGTATTCATCTCCCCAGGGGGTACACGCATTTTTGTCATGCTCCTATGGTGGGTTCTGTCGGGTTTTGCCCATCGACTGATTCTGGAGTTATTTCCGTTAATATACTTTGTTTTTCTTTCAGATGGGTTTGGCCCTTAGTTGTCTATCAGCCTTAGTCGCATCCGAGGTTCATATTCTTACTTTGGTAGCGCTCCCACCTTTAGGCGGTGTTCGACGTCACCGTTTGTTTAAATGGTTCCTCCCTTTTTCTTGCCCTTCATGTACCGCTTGGTTGTGGTTGGCATTGGCGGGGCGTATAGGTTTTTTCGGTTCACTTCAGTCCATAACATGGCGACTTCAGGTACCGACATGGCGGGCGTTTTTCTCCAAGACATCGTACGCTTTTCTGCCAGTTACGAGGAGCTATCTTCGCAGAGTTTAGGTTGGTACGGCGGATCAGGATTCTTTGGTCTTTGCTGTCCGAGTGTTAAAACAGCAAATATGAAGCCTCCTGTCATGCTATAAAATTGTAGATCATACTAGCTTTAGTGTAACTATAATCTTAATTTTATTAATGACAGGAGGCGAATATTTCCCTCCCAGTTTCTCCCTCCCCTTGTTGTTTGTTGGTTTGACTGACTTGTTGTTTATTCCTGGTCTCCTGGGCTAGGTTTGTTAATCTGGGGGAGTTGGGGTTTATCTGGGATATGGTGTAACAGAACTATGATTATGCCTATACTTTTGCCTGGACTTAATTAACAATGCTGCTGGATGTGTTAAACAGAAAACGAATGGCTGGTTTTCGTGTGAATATTGCTACTGTAACATACAGTCCAAAATACCGAACATCAGACCACCCAGGGGAACAGTTAATTGCTATTTTACCTCCCAGTGATTGTGGAGCCGTTCGCATGGTTCAGACGAATCCCGTTGTGCTCAGGTTAGATGGCCGCCATTTCGGGACTTTACACGTGTTCGCAGCCATCTTACGCACGAACGGCGGTGTTTGCCTGTGAACGCATGGAACTAAAAACGGATACGCAAACAGGCGAACACCGCTGAGACCTCCAGGAGCTCCTAAGTTCGTGCTGGAACTACCGAACGACCGGCCGTTCGGTAGTTTTGTTTAAGCATTCATGGGGATTCAGGCGAACACCAAGATTACTGTGGATGGCAAGGGGTTCGTGGGGTTTTTATGCACGAACGGAGACCGACCGCAAGGCCAAAACTTATGGAACTCTTTTCGGCTAGAAAACCTGTGCGGTCGGTCAAAACTTCAAAGACCCATAACTCCCGAACCCCTCAACCGAATGGACTGAAATTTGGATATATTGTTCCCCTGAGTGAGAGCTATTAAGCAGTTTTTGGGGTACATCCAGAATGTAGTTAAAATTGTGTCTGTTTTAATTGTGTTATATGTTATCTGAGGGGAGGAGACGTGGGGGTTGAACCATGCATGTAATTGGCTGTTGTGATAATTATGTGGGTGTAGCCTTTCAGAGGGCAATATTGCATAAAAGGAGACCCCCTGTCAATAAACATCAGTTCTACTTGACCCTTCAAAACGTAGCCTCGTCTCGTTCTTGGAGGGGATTTATGGTACCGTTACTCTGCCTCATTTTACAGCACTCCTGGATGATACACTTGGATATCGTGGATGGGAATAAGAACTCCATTGCTTCACAGCAGCTTGCCTAGAAAATGACGTCTCCAACGGCAGGTACCCCTCTCTAGCTGGGTAGCCGTTACATATGGTACCGTCAGTATTTTATGATGGGGATTCAGGTTTTTTCACTATCTGGGATATTGTACTATCAGTCTTTACGATGCGGTTTCAGGTTTTCTCAGTACATTTCATTACTAATCAGTGTTTTCGACTCTGTTTATCTCGTTTCAGTTTAGTGGTTTGGCTACAGTTCTTAGATCCGACTACTCTTCGGATGGCATTCATTGTTATGTTATGTTTGTTTCTCCTGTTATTGTACTTGTGGTGTATTGTCTATGTACTTTATTTGTCGCAGCGTGAAAGAGTTAGTTGGGAGAAGCCTTTTATGGATTCCTGATTTTTTTTTTGTCTCTGGTGTTATTATTATTATTATTATTATTATTGCCATTTATATAGCGCCAACAGATTCCGTAGCGCTTTACAATATTATGAAAGGGGATTTAACTATAAATAGGACAATTACAAATAAACTTACAGGAACAATAGGTTGAAGAGGACCCTGATCAATCGAGCTTACATTCTATAGGAGGTGGGGTGTAAGAAACATTAGGACAGGAATGTGCAATCAAAAAAGGTGGGCTGCCCTTTAGGAGAGGGCAAGAGACGGGTATGTGAGGTAGGGGTTAGTCTTGGAGGCCATAAGCTTTCCTAAAGAGATGGGTTTTAAGGCACTTCTTAAAAGATGCAAGACTATGGGAGAGTCGGATGGCGGTAGGCAGGCTATTCCATAGGAAGGGAGCCGCCCGCGAGAAGTCCTGCAAGCGCGAGTTGGCCGTACGGGTGCGGACAACGGACAGGAGGTGGTCACGGGCAGAGTGGAGAGACCGAGAAGGGACATACCTGTGGATCAGTGAGGGGCTAGAGTTGTTCAGTGCTTTATAGGTGTGAGTTAGTGCCTTGAATTGACTCCTATAGCACACAGGAAGCCAATGTAAGGACTGGCAGAGGGGTGAGGTGTGAGAGAACCGACTAGAGAGGAAAATCAGTCTAGCAGCAGTGTTCATTACAGACTGTAGGGGTGCAGTACGGCTTTTGGGAAGACCAAGCAGGAGAGGGTTACAATAATCCATGCGTGAAATTATTAGAGCATGGACAAGCTCCTTGGTAGTATCTGGTGCAAGAAAGGGGCGGATGTGTTTTTATCTCTATGTTAATGTGCTGCTGTGGAGTTCTAGTAAAGAGAGACTAAAGCAAATATTCGCCTCCTGTCATTAATAAAATTAAGATTATAGTTACACTAAAGCTAGCATAATCTACAATTTTATTGAACAAACCTCCTAATGATAACAGTATTTTTTTTAAACATGAAAAACTTACAATGCCCTGTTCCAAATTATTATGCACAGTAAGTTTCAAAACACTTTATAGGTTGTAAAGAACTGAAAATTGTCATTTGTTGTGTTTGCAGCATATTTACTGAAATCAAAAGCTATTTCAATTGAACTTATAACAACATTTTAACAGGTCACGTTACATTTTAACATAGGACCCCTTATTTGATAGCAGCTTCACAAGTCTTGCATCCATTGAAGTTTTTGGACAGTTTCTGCTTGAATTTGTTTGCAAGATGTCAGAATAGCCTCCCAAAGCTGCTGTTTGGATGTAAACTGCCTCCCACCCTCATAGATCTTTTGCTTGAGGATGCTCCAAAGATTCTCAATAGGATTGAGGTCAGGGGAGGATGGAAGGCCACACCATGACTGTAACGGATCGCTGGTCTCTCACAGACTATTTCTGCTGGTAGTCCAGGTGTGGCTCAGGAACAAGTAGTAACCCCAGGAGAAACATCCACAGTAATAGAATAATCCAACAGCGTAGCAAGCACAATCAGCAATACCATCCAATAATATCCCATCACCTTTCCCAATAACTGGACGACACACAGTATCAGGAGCAGAACTCGCACTTTTAATCCACAACCCCTGCTTTTATGCCTCTCTCCCACTGCAAGGGAGACACTCACAATAATTAGTACAGTCACCAATCAGATACATGTTACCTCCCACACATCTCCTCCCCTCTGCCGGAATCCCCATAAGCTATTAAGTCTTTCTACCGAACGGCCTGTCGTTCGGTAGTTGTAGCACGATTTCCCGGTGCTATGGAGGTCTCAGCGGTGTTCGCCTACTCGAGTGTCCGATTTTAGTTCCAGACACTCGATGGCAAAACACTGCTGTTCGGGAGTTAAAATGGCCACGAACACGTGTAAGTCCCGAAATGGCGGCCACCCAGGCACTTCGCAAAGCGTTTGTGGGTTTTTCTATGTGAAGGCACTTGTGGATCAGGGAGGTAAATTATCTATAATTAGGAACCAGGGTGGCCCAGTGTAGGGTAGTTAGCATTGGTATGGAGAATGCTTCAAATGTCCCGAACTGATGCCTAGCAAAAGTCCCCATAAAACAGGTTAGGCTCCTCCATTTGTTACACACAGTCTAATAGAAGTCCATACACTGTGCTTAAAGGACCAGTAGCCGCATAATAAAAATCCATTATGCCCAAATATGTTCTTAAAAGGCAATACATCCCAGGGGCCCTAGTTACAGGGCAGGAGGCTGGCAAGCAGCCCCCTCCAAAAACTCATGGCAAACTCCTTTAAAGGGGCGAGTTTGCTACAATGACTTTCTCTCCTTTTATCCCCATAGCAGCCATTGATGCAGAGGTATTCTTTGCAGCATGAGATGGTGCATTGTCATGCATGAAGATGATTTTATTACGGAAAACATAGTTCTTCCTTCTGTACCAGGGAAGAAAGTGGTCAGTAAGAAACTCCACATACTTTGCAGAGGTCATCTTTACACCTTCGGGGACCCTAAAGGGGCCGACCAGCTCTCTTTCCATAATTCGGGCCCAAAACATGACTCCACCGCTGCCTTGCTGACATCGTAGCCTTGTTGGAACAGAGTGGCTGTCCACCAACCATCCACTACTCCATCCATCTGGACAATCCAGGGTTGCACGGCACTCATCAGTGAACAGGACTGCTTGAAAATTAGTCTTCATGCTTGTGAGCATTGGTTAGTGGTGGCCGAATAGAAGGTTTATGCACAGTTGTAAGACTCTGGAGGACTCTACACTAGAGATGTCGCGAACCGTCCGTGACCTTATCGCAAACGGTTCGCCACGGTTCGCCACGAACCGTTCGTGGCGAACTCCGGTCAGCTGACACATCCCTGCCAATCTCCAGCAGACCCTCCCTCCCAGACCCTCCCACCTCTTGGACAGCATCCATGTTGAAGCTGCTTGAGTGAAGCTGCCCCTCACTCAGGGGAACAATATATCCAAATTTCAGCCCATTCGGTTGAGGGGTTCGGGAGTTATGGATCTTTGAAGTTTTGACCGACCGCACAGGTTTTCTAGCCAAAAAGAGTTCCATAAGTTTAGGCCTTGCGGTCGGTCTCCGTTCGTGCATTAAAACCCCACGAACCCCTTGCCATCCACAGTCATCCTGGTGTTCGCTGGAATCCCTATGAGAGCTTAAACAAAACTACCGAACGGCCAGTTGTTCGGTAGTTCTGGCACGAACTTACGAGCTCCTGGAGGTCTCAGCGGTGTTTGCCTGTTTGCGTATCCGTTTTTAGTTCTATGCGTTCACAGGCAAACACCGCCATTCGTGCGTAAGATGGCCGCGAACACGTGTAAAGTTCCGAAATGGCAGCCATCTAACCTGAGCACAAAGGAATTCGTATGAACCATGCGAACGGCTCTACAAGCGCTGGGAGGTAAAATATCAATTAACTGTTCCCCTGGGTGGTCCGATGTTCGGTATTTTGTGCTGTATTCTCTAGTAGGAACATTTCCATGAAAGATAGCCATTCGGTTTTTGTGCGATACATCCAGAAGCGTTGTAATTTAAGTTCAGGCAAAAAGCATGGGCAAAATCATAGTTCTGTTACAGTATACAGGGAGCGTGGTGAGACTGGGCGCAGTACAGGGAGCTCTCTATCACTGTATATAATTAATATGTGTATACAGGGAGCGTGGTGAGACTGGGCGCAGTATAGGGAGCGCTCTATCACTGTATATAATTAGTATGTGTATACAGGGAGCATGGTGAGACTGGGCGCAGTACAGGGAGCTCTCTATCACTGTGTATAATTAATATGTGTATACAGGGAGCGTGGTGAGACTGGGCACAGTACAGGGAGCTCTCTCTATCACTGTGTATAATTAATATGTGTATACAGGGACAGGGAGCGTGGTGAGACTGGGCGCAGTACAGGGAGCGCTCTATCACTGTGTATAATTAATATGTGTATACAGGGAGCGTGGTGAGACTGGGCACAGTACAGGGAGCTCTCTATCACTGTGTATAATTAATATGTGTATACAGGGAGTGTGGTAGACCGGGCGCAGTACAGGGAGCTCTCTATCACTGTGTATAATTAATATGTGTATACAGGGAGCGTGGTGAGACCGGGCGCAGTACAGGGAGCTCTCTATCACTGTGTATAATTAATATGTGTATACAGGGAGCGTGGTGAGACCGGGCGCAGTACAGGGAGCTCTCTATCACTGTGTATAATTAATATGTGTATACAGGGAGCGTGTTGAGATTGGGCTCAGTACAGGGAGCTCTCTATCACTGTGTATAATTAATATGTGTATACAGGGAGCGTGGTGAGACTGGGCGCAGTACAGGGAGCTCTCTATCACTGTGTATAATTAATATGTGTATACAGGGAGCGTGATGAGATTGGGCTCAGTACAGGGAGCTCTCTATCACTGTGTATAATTAATATGTGTATATGCGCTGAGAACTCTGGGTAATTGCTGTATTTTGAGGTTAGCTCCATTGCAGTGAGCTGATTGACAGCCAGCGGGGGTGTACCAAGGTTAAAGGGACACAGTAGGCACTGTATCTGCTTCATCTCATTAAACTGGTTATAGTGTCTGGAGTCCTCTGGTACAATCATTTCTTTCAGCATTAAACAGTTTTTAAACTTTTAATGTTTTAATGCTAAACAAGAGTCCCCGGCAATCCATCCCCTCTGTGCTGCTTTGGCTAATAAGGAAGTATTAGCCTGAGCAGCAATAGGCAGCTGTGATTGGCTGAGAGTGTCAGCTGACTGCTTTTAACCTGTCAGAGTTCCAACTGACGGTATGAATGGGTATGACAACAAGGAAGTGTGTAATGTCTGCCTTAGCTACACATAATGAAGGGGCAGGACTGTGGGTGGCCAGGGACTCTTATTTTGTGGCATACTGCACAAACATGGTGCAACACTGAATGGAGGGACAGTGCCAGGGCACTCCAGGCACTATAGCCAATTCAAAGAGATGAAATGCTTATAGTAACTACAGTGTCCCTTTAATTTATAAAATTTCCTATTTTCTTAGAAATATTAAAAGATGTCACACTCTCGCGATATAAATCATATTATTCAGTATGGTAAAGGGCATTATGGGTCTGCAGTGTGTTTAACATTTATATGAATTAACATGGGGGGGGAGGGGGAGCCGCCATGTTTGTTCCTGGCAGTGGATGATGGCTGAGGTTGGATTTGATAGTTTTATATTTTATTTTATTGCATTGCTATGACACCATATCAGTTTACTGACAGAAGGAATAAACACATTATTAACCCTTCCGTCACTCTGCTCTCCGCCTACTTTGCCCTTTTCCAAGATGGCGGCAAACCGCCACTGTTTCCGCCTCCGGTCTAACTAGCTATTTCCTCTACAGACAGGAAGTGACGTATTTTCTACCCGCATTCTCGCGCTCCTTGTCTGTTGTACGGCTGCAGGGAGCGAGGTAAGTGTCACCCGGGGGGGGGGGTGATAACGTGGAGGTAGTTACCGGGGTGATAACGGAGGGAGTTACCGGGGTGATAACGGGATGGAGCTACCGGGGTGGATAACGGAGGTAGCGTCAATGGGTGATAACGGGAGGGAGTTACCGGGGGGGTGATAACGTGGAGGTAGTTACCGGATAACGTGGAGGGAGTTACTGGGTGATAACGTGGAGGGTAGTTACTGGGATAACGTGGAGGGAGTTACCGGGGGGGTGTGATAACGTGGAGGTAGTTACTGGGGTGGATAACGTGGAGGGAGAGTTACAAGTGATAACGTGGAGGTAGAAGCTACTGGGGTGATAACGGAGGGAGTTACCGGGGTGGATAACGTGGAGGGAGCCACAAGGATAACGTGGAGGTAGTTACTGGGGTGATAACGTGGAGGGAGTTACAAGGGATAACGTGGAGGAAGTCATCAAAGACAACGGAGGGAGTCACCGGGGTGATAACGTGATAGTAGCGCCAATGGGTGGATAACGTGTGACTTGTGTCAATCAAGGATAACGCGGATGCTGTTTTCAACGGGGGCGGGCGACTTAACGGAGGTATTACCGCAAAGCGATCGACGCGGAGGTAGCTACTGGGGGTGATAACGTGGAGGCAGCTACCGGGGGTGATAACGCGGAGGCAGTTACCTGGCGGTGGGGGTGATAACGCGGAGAAAGCTACCGGGGTGATAACGTGGAGGGGTAGTTACCGGGGTGATAAACGTGGAGCAGCTACTGGGTGGATAACGCGGAGGCAGTTACCGGCGGGGTGGATAACGTGGAGGCAGTTACGGGGGGGTGATAACGCGGAGGCAGTTACCGGGGGTGATAACGTGGAGGCAGCTACCGGGGGTGGATAACGCGGAGGCAGTTACCGGCGGCGGGGGTTTATTTAACGCGGAGGCAGTTACCGGCGGGGTTGATTTAACGTGGAGGTAGTTACCGGGGGTGATAATATGGAGGCAGTTACCCGGCGGTAAGATGATCACAGAAGGCACTGGGTGTATGATGTTAAGCAGCAATAGAATATATATATATTAGGTCTGTATATTACAGGGAACACAGCGCAATAACAGATGCAACATGCGCTTTCAGCACAAGAAATAGGGATCAGGTAGCCTAATGACGGCAAACCAGGGAGAGCATTCTAAAGATGTGTGCAGGACAGTGACATTGTGGAGAAACGGTTGTACATACGATATATATAACATATACAGCACGGATGGGAGGCCATGTCTCTGGGCATATATTGTAAAACTTCGATAAGCTGTGCGTCACAAGGCGAAAAATGCCTGCTGTGTCTGAATAGGAGATAAAATGCAAACAATATGCAGGGATTGCTCAAACAATAAAACTCTGAATACCAACGTTTGTAGTAAATGAGGAAACTGATGTTTTATCTCTCATGCAGCGTGATATTGTCTGTACAAGATGGCTGACAGTGATGATGAGTACGATAGGAGGCGACGTGACAAGTTCAGGAGGGAGCGAAGTGATTACGACCGATCACGTGAGAGGGAAGAAAGGAGAAGGGACGATTGGAGTGACAGGTGAGAGCCGAGTACTTACAAAATCTATACAAGCCTATGGACATGCCGGTCATGCAGCCATTAACTACTGTTCTCTCCCTTGTTCTGGCTTTTTATGCACACTTTGTTTAATCTCTTGAGTAGATGTGAAGAATATACTACATATCCCATAAATCCATGCAGATACGGTTGCCTTGAGGATTAGCAGCAGTAGCCTAAAAACAGCAATGTCTCTTGAGCTTTTCATAAATCTAAAATCTGCTTTTTCTTTATGTAGCGGAGATACAATATTCCCCATGTTATCTCCACTTATGATCGCAGTGAGGCTCAGGAACAAGTAAATTATAAATCCACAGGCAAAGTTTCCAACAGGCAAAATAATCCAATAGTATCCCCACAGCAATCCCAATGACTGGACGACACACAGCATCAGGAGCAGAACTGACAACCTTTATTCCACAGTGCCTTTTATATAGCATGCGCCCATGCAAGGGAGGGATTTTCATCAATTAGTACAGTGCCCAATCCGACAATAGTAACCTCCCACACATCTCCTCCCCTCAGCCTGCATCATAATCCCCTTATACTGTACCCAAATTCCCCCAGTTCCTGGATGTACCCCTAAACCTAGGGGTACCCCTTTAAATGGCACATCCCCTGGTAGCCCTGATCTGGGTGAGCAACATATCCAAAAATCACCCAGATCGGACCAGGGGTTCGGGAAATTTATGGAGGTACTAAAAAGACCGACCGCGCTGGATAAAACAGCCGAATGGGGTTCCATGCGATGGGGCCCTGCGGTCGGTCCCAGTACAAGGGAATAAGTTACACGAACGGCTAAGGCTACAGAGACCAGGTAGGGTTCACATGAATCCCCTCGTTCGGTTGTTTCTGTCTACCAAACGAGGGGCTGTTCGGTAGTTTGGAACCGAACGGACCGGGCTTGTGGAGGTCTCAGCGGGGTTCGCCTAGTCGAGTGTCCGATCTGGGTTCCAGACACTCGACGGCAAAACACCGCTGTTCGGGAATTTTAAAATGGCTGCCACCACGTATTAGTTTCCCGAATGGCGGCCACCCCGAGACAAAGGACCTACTGCATAGCTTGTTAATTACCCGTTCGCAACGGGTAATTGGAGGCACACTTCACACAGGGGAGGTCTGATTGTTCGGTAGTTTTATTCCCTTAGTTTATTCGAATGATTCTACCGAACAATCAGATGAATACACTTTAGTTAAACACATATAAAACCAGCAGTTTATACGAATGCAGTGAACACATGAAATTTTCAGGACAGCCCAGTGCCATCCGCTACACTTTAATTTCCAATTTAATCAGAATTAAGTATTTGAGAAAGGAGGGCTGCAATACCTAAAAGGTCACTTCCTGAAGTGTACTCTTAATATAAATATATATTTTTTTTTTCCAACATATAGTGGCGGTAATTGTATATATTCTTGGGGCATACAGTCTGTAAAATAAATACATCTAAATAGTCCCTCCTCCTTCCCTTTTACCTGCTAAAAGCCCAGGAACATCAGTATTCATTCTTGTCCCATTCGGGACGGACATCTTACTGTTCGCTCCAAGTCTGGTGAGGCGCACGGGTTGCAGCTTGGGGGACCTGGCCGATGGCTGTCTCGGTGGTGATCTGAGAGCCCGGCTCCGAAAAAGGTTACAGAGCAAATAATCCAGCAGCATGTTATACCAAGAGACATTCCCTGGTGGTTCGCCAATATCGATGCAAGCCTTGCGTTCCACCAAAGTTCCGAATGTGCTACTGCATGTTAGCAATTCGTAACTTGGAAAATTTGGCGCAATTCACATTTGGTGCCTATAAATGCTGTGCAGACTCTCAGGGCAAGCGTGGAAGGTGTGCTTGGAGGGTCTACCATGTCACCAACGCCCCCACACTGTTCAGAGGCCTTTAAGGTTTCTGTTTCATCTATATTTCATATGGAATTATGGCTTAAGGTAATTAATTTTTGCAGATGTCTAGCCCAGCATCTCCCAAGGATTTAGAAAAGGAGAGAATGACAGACACACCCGTAACATACATTTTTCAGTAGCGGTGCTGCTGTAAAGACCAAAATATATGCAAAATACTGATTAAACACCGCTTCCTAGCTGGACCAGGGGACAAACCGCAGCACTTCCTGCCCTCAGTCACCATAGCTTGACTGGGGCCTTACAAGGACTTTCCCCGTTGAATCCCCTGCAAGCTGGAACAGCAGACACAGAGCAAATCTTCTTTCCCTCCAATAACTGGACAACACACGTTTTGGAGTGTAAGCAGGAATCTCTAGTTTAATGGGACACACTGGCCTTTTATACAATTTTTCCAACAAGGTTGACGCCCAGGTGGACCTTGTGGGGCACAGGATACAAAACATCCAAGTCAATAAAAACAGTGTAACAATGAACGACACTCCCACATACATTACACAGTCCCTCCCCTCTGCCTGTGATACAATTAAGGTAGATAATACAATAACCTAAGTATCCACAGGCAGGAAAAAACACATGTTCCCCAAAGTCCAGAAAACACCCCATAACATATCCCCATAAATATTACATCCCCTGAAATAACATATCCAAAAATCACCCAGATCAGAGCAGAGGTTCAGGAAATTCCTGGAAGTCTCTTTTGACCGACTGCACGCATGATTTCATGCCCAAAACAGTTCCAGAGTATTAGGCTGTGCAGCCAGTCTATTTCGGTAGTTTGTAAACGAACAAACTACCGAACAGTGTCAATAGTCTTACCATGGAGCTTGTTTCTTTCATCCAGACGAATGATCTCACCGAAAAGTGCCCTTGTAAGCCGAATAGAAATGAATGCAGGCGATGATGGAAGTTCAGCGGTGTTCGGGAGTTTCTGTATCCGATTTCAGTTCCATGAGATTCATGCCCAAACACCGCTGCCTGCGTTCATTCGAACAAGATGGCTGACACCTCGTGGTTGTTCATAGGAATCAAAGCCACCCAGACGTACAATTAGAACACTGCGGTGAGAAACGTTCCAAGTTGTTAATAGACGTTAACAAGCTCCAGGGTGGTCTCTGTTCGTGCAGTTGTTTGGTAAACTAACCATATAGTCCCAATTGCACGACAGAATAAACAGAGCCTGTTTAAAGTATATTAACTAATTCTGTTCCAGGGGCCATAGTCACAGGGTAAAAGGCTGGCAAAGTAGTCCCCTCCAAGAACTCGTGGCAAACTCACTTGAAAAGGGGAGTTTGTCACACATCTCCCCTCTCCCGGGGAGACTATCCAGACCTCCAATCGGTCTGGGGCTCTGATAGTCTGTTGGCCTTTGCCAAAAGGCGTAGTTTTCCAGATGGCCTCCTGCCACCAGTGCCCATTTGTAGATCTAGTGTCCAGCGTGTTAATGACCTGGATGCCCATCCCCTTGGTTGGACAAAGTTGTTGCTGGGGGCGACGGGTGCAGTCTCCCTCCTCCGTGCCTGGTGGGTAGAGGCCAGCAGCGCTCTGCCCCGGAGCCAGCGGTTCTGCTGGGTTGGTTGGTGGGTCGTCGGGCCCCAGAACAAAGGGGTAAGTAGGACAAAGGCCAGCTGCGCTCTGCCCAGATGCCAGCTCTTCTGCTGGGAAGAGGTCAGTAGAGGCCGTAGTTCCGTCTCCTGCACTTGGGCCCTGCTTGGGAATGGGCAGTTTGGGATCTGAGTAGACTGCCCAGCATCCCTGTAGGGCTGGTGCAGAATTCTTGGTCCCATCTGCACCATCCTTGCTAGGGGGCCTGTCTCTGGGCGACAGCCCCAGCCGCTGAGTGAGTCAGACCGTCTCCACTTCCAGTAACACACACTGCCGCTGGGGAGAGAGAACGACCATCTGCTTACCCAATAACACATGCTGCCGCTGGGGAGGAAGGAGGACACACTTCTCTCCCTGTGATGCACACTGCCGCTGGGGAGTGAGACCGGTTGTCTCCACTCCCTGTAATTCACTCTGCCGCTGGGGAGAGAGACCGGCTGTCCCTTCTCCCAATAACACACTCTGCCGCTACAGAGGAAGGATGACACACTTCTCTCCCCGTGATGTACTCTGCCGCTGGGGAGTAAGAACAGTCGTCTCTACTCCCTGTAACACACTCGGATTCTGGGGAGCGTGCCCGACTGTCTCTACTCCCTGTAACTCTGCCGCTGGGGAGAGAGACCGACCATCTCCACTCCCAATAACACCTATGGCTGCTGGAGATGGAGGACGACACTCCTCTCCCTGAGTTGCATGCTGCCGCTGGGGAGTGAGACCGGTTGTCTCCCCTCCCTGTAACACACACTGCCGCTGGGAAGGAGGGACGAAACTCAATGCTCCCAGTGGTATACAGTTCATAAGCCTCATCATGTCAGAGACAGGTGGTGTTACTCAGTTAAATAGGCAAGCATAGTCCTGCTCGAGCTCCCGCTCTAGGTTAGCCAGTCAAGTCAGATCCGGTTGCATTTCCGCTATCGCCCAAGCTGTCTTCCCGCTCATCTCGAATGTACCAGAAGCGGGAACTATCCGGGTTTCTGAATGCCCATACCATTATCAAACTCCTCCCATAGTAGACCAGGGCCATTGTAGTCCTCCCCCGGGAAGCCTTTGTGCTCAACCAACAACGGGTAGATGCCAACCACATGAAACTGCAAGGTGCGGTATGTATCGCTGTATTTTTCCCTTCGGCTCCAGGAGGGAGGTGGCGGTTCCAGGGCCCCAGTCAAGCAACGGCGACTGAGGGCAAGAAATGCTGCGGTTTGTCTCCTGGTCCAGCTAGGAAGCGGTCCTTTGGCGGAGGTACCCAGTCATGGTGCCAGGTGATCCGTTACAGTAACTATAACTAGCCTGGTCAAATTTCTAACAGTGTGTATAAGTGCGCTGTTCTATAATCTCTCTTGCAGAAAAGCATTAAATCCAGAAACAATGAGACTTTAATGTCTTGGTAGACACTAGTGGCTATGTGACTCAAGGACATGAGAATGAATACAGCTTAGTGTCCCTTTAATACAGGTGTTGGCTTTAGGTTACCATCTGCAAAATGTGTTGGCTGCAGGAGCTGCCAATTTTATATTGTCCATATAGAGGAACTCTGAAACATTTATATATCCATCTTTTAATGTTTGGAATATAGGAATGTACATTGTTCCCACATCTGGTGGCTGTTTGTGTATTTATAAAACTCGAGCCTGATTCACACAGGGTTGGTCACAAACGTGAAAATTTTAAGTAAATTTCAAACTTAAGGTCAAAGTAGCTGAACTGGAAGCATAGCTGACTTAGAAAATGTTTCCAGTTTGGGCTATTTTAACCTTGAATTTTGAAATTTACTTTAATAAATAACCCCGACAGAGCTTGCTGTAATAGCAGATCCGCCCGTTTTAAATGCAAGAGCTAAGGTTTGTCAGCCAGTGCCCACTTCAGCAACTCCGGGAGCACTTGTATGCACAATGTGGTTTATATAATGTGTAGATACTGTGCCAGTGCTCCTCGGCTTAGAACATGGGACACACAGCTTGAACGTCTATTGATTCAGCACGACTGTTTTTTGTTAATCCATCTGCAGTTGTTTGAAGACGCTAGTCAATGAATCGAAAACCAAATTGCTAAATTCAACTAAAATTGCCAAGTTGTGGTTAGCATTCTTAGAGAATTGGTCACATATATTTTTACAATCTTGTACTATTTCCATTAAACAGAATGTGGTTATTCAAGTATGATCTGGCCTTGGTATTATGTCTTGAAATTCCCTCTTCAATTTTAAAACGTCTGACATAGCTTCTTATTTCTCCTTCAGAGAATGGGATCGTGGGCGTGAGAGGCGGAGTCGTGGGGAATACAGGGACTATGATCGAAGTCGAAGAGAGAGGTTTTCCCCTCCGCGGCATGAGCTTAGCCCACCACAAAAACGCATGCGGAGGGATTGGTGAGTTTATAGGGGGAGATATGGAGTGCATACGGTGAATGAGATAAGGATGGCTTTTGAGCGGGTGAAAGTTTGATACCAGTGATGATATTTACCTTTATTTTTTAATTTATAATATTGTAGGGATGATCACGGGAGTGACCCATATCACAGTGGTTACGAAATGCCGTACTCTGGCACAGCGGGTGGGCCAAGTTATGGTCCCCCTCAACCATGGGCACATCCAGAAATGCACATCATGCAGCATCATGGGATTCCTATCCAGGCCAGGTAAAACCCAAACACACATTGACTCTAGAATTAAATATTATTTGCAATGGTTGAGTTTCTGTTTCTGGCTTGCTTGTAATACACACATTATATGGTTGTCATCTCCAACAATGGACTCTTTAAACTGACTGCTTGCTGGAAGCTGTGGAATCACTAGTTGATTTCTCCTTTAGATTGGGAAACCTCCACGAGGTGGACCTTGGGACTCCGGCTCCTGTGATGAAGACCTTTAAAGAGTTTCTTCTGTCCCTTGAAGACACGGTGGATGAGACTGAGGCAGTGCGGCGCTATAACGATTACAAGATGGAGTTCAGACGCCAGCAGATGCAGGAATTCTTTCTTGCTCATAAGGACGAGGAGTGGTACGGATCTCTCTTCCACTCTAATCACGCTTCCTCCCCATTCTTTATAACTCTGGGCCTGCTATCCTTTCTCTCCATATCCTTCATAGCTAGCATTTTTCTCGATTCCCCTTCTTCTCATCCTCCCGCTTTATCTTAATCGATTTATGTTCAATGTGTTTTGTTTTGTGTTTAATATTTTTTTTTTCCTTGTTAACCAAAAACACACTTTTCTCCTTCTCCAAAGCCTCTCAAGGTTCAGGAATCCACCTCCTGCTGCCATTTTTACATTTTTTATTTTCATTTTGTTTCGTGGTCGCGTTTTTTTCCGGTTCTAGTTAGTGAGGACTTTTGTTATTTTCATTAGTTTCCCAATGTATTAGGGCTCAGCTAGTTAGTGCGCGATGGGGAAGAACCATACTGGTTAAAAAAACACATCACCCCAAAATAAAAACAAAACCATAGCCCGGTGGAATTTGGTGAAACTATAAATATATTGTTCCAAGTCTACTGCTCGGTGCGGACCAGGTAACATTTGGGATGACAATATGCGAGCTACGGCACTGTGGAGGGTGGAGAGTGGGATTGTATCTGGAGGGTGGGGGTGGGTTAAGTGACTGACTTACACGTGGTTGTGGTTGAGGTTATGACTCTACTAGCGTCCATTTTTAAAACAGGTCTTGAATGGGAAAAACTACTGTGACTATTGCTTAAGCTGTGCTTGTATTAGTAGTTTTTAATTAATCTCAGATTAGTAGTTTGCAGTTTTTTTTTTTCAGTTTTTAGTTTAGTCTCTTTCCTGCTTGCTGACTTCTGTATAAACAATCTCAGCAGAAGAGATAAAAATTGTAGTTTTTGTAGTGTAATTGCTGAAAGGGAACGAGCCACATAATCAGGAAATATTATACATCGTTACCTTGTGTGTGCCAGATGTATTGGCTTCATTGTAGTGTTCCTTTAAACAGATAAAGGACAACGGTCACCTCAAAAATATTTCAATATACTAATCATTTCATCAAGTTTTGGAAAGAAACTTTTGTTTTTAAAATTAAATATATGTATAAAAAAAATGAGAATTTCATCCCTACCAATAGTACATGACAGATTCACTCAGCTATATACATACACCCTGGGTTGGACAGTGTAAACAGACAGTCTCGGTGGTCTTCCCTGCTTCAACCCTTACACAGAGATATACTTCATTAAATAACATTTACTTTCAATAATTAATGAAAGGATTATTATATAAAGACATTTTATTTTTGTTGAGGTGACCGTTAATTTCATAACGCCTGTGTAAATGCTGTGATTGGTATGAACGAGTAACTGGGTGTGGGGGATATTAATAGATCATTGGAGGTTTCTTTTATAAAGTATTAAGCAGTTTTGCAGATTTAAGTCCCAGGTTTATTCTTTCAGCCAGCACCATAGAGAGGGACATGCAGTCTTAATGGCGCCTCATACCACCTTGATTCTTCTCTATGGTGTCCTGTCTGCTATGGCAAGAGCTCAATGTTGATTAAAACATCCCTTCTATTAAACTACAGCAAAAACTGCTATCTGAAAAGACATATAATGCTAATCAGCTATCCATGGCCCCTGCAAGTGCTCTATCTGGGGGCAAACTAGGCTTTTTATGGATTTTAACACCTGGTCCTGCTAGATATCACTTGGAGGCTGTCTGGATGGGATGTTTACATTATAAACAGGTGAACGTTCGAGCTGCCTTTCTGTTAAATGCCCTTGTTTTACCTGCAGCTTTATAACAGGGATCTGGCTTAGAAGGAGTTAATGGCGAGCACAGTTAAAGAATAGGGACAACAATATATTGGGCTCTGGGTGTTTTAATAGGCCAGACTGGCTGGAGACTAAGTCAGGCGTTTATAATTATTCCCTATGAGATTATTCTCGTTCTACGATCTCATTGTCTTTTCTTCTGCCTGGTTTTTGTCCCTCCTGCTGTATTCCAGGTTTCGCTCTAAATACCATCCTGATGAGGTGGGACGTCATAAGCAGGAGTGTCAGGCTGCACTCCGCAACAGATTTGACGCATTCATGTACCTTATGGAGAATAGCTGGTTGGATGATATCCAGCTAGATATGGACAAGGCACCTGCCATCATCAAGGTGCTGGATGCAGGTATGAGCTACTAATGGTTCAAAACTTAGATCAACATACACAGTGCGTATCCTGGTGGAATGGGAATTTCCTCACCCAATTCCCACTATCTTTCCACAGCTGTTATAAAAATGGAGGGAGGTAACGAAATTGACCTGAAGATCTTGGATGAGGAGGAAGAGCAGGCAAAGAGAGAGGCTGCAAAGAAGGAGGCAGCGCGACACTTAGAAGTGGAGAAGAAAGCAACCGATGAGAAGGAAGTGCTCCCCAAGGTGATTAGGGCAGGGATTGGGGCATAGTGCTAATCCATTTGTAAGTGTAGGAATTAGTGTCTGTTATGGTGCAGACAAGAAAGACATATAACACCAGTTATTTGGATCCCTCATTATATGTTACAGGCTGAAAAAGAGGAGAAGGAGGGGGCCGAGGAGAAACCACCAAAACCCGAAGAGGAGGAGGAAGAGCGAAAAGTAGAAAAGGAGGAGCCTGAAGGAGAAACCAGGAAGGTTTGTCAAACCGTTACAATTGTGACTTTCTAGATCAGTGTGTGCTGCCCAGGGATCCTAGTGTCTTCTAGTAGGCCTGGTTAGCTTTAGCCTCTGTGATGACATGGTTCAATGGTGCTTTATTCTGGGTTTACTTTGTGTCCCTTGTACAAGAGATATTACGGTTATACATTATGATACAATTATATGTGACCAGATGTATTATTTATGGTGGATATTTATTTTAGCCAAGTAAAAGAAAGCGAAAACGAAGTGGAGATAGTGATGATGGCAGCGATTCCGAATCAGGATCCGAGAGTGCAAGTCCCAAGCCAGAAACTCCTGGTCAAAATGGAAGGCGTAAGTCAGTTTATTGTTAAAAACAATCCCGGTGAATATTTCTGAGAATTCCATACAATATATGTAATACACAGTGTGACTCTCACCCTGTGTATACCAGCTGTATTTTTAACTAATGCTTTAAAGAGACACTTGCTTGTTAAACTGCAATAACTACCTTTGGGGGTTAATTCCAACTTGAGTGGAAGTCTACCAGACACCCACTAGAGGGACTTCCGGGTGCTTAGGTGACTTTGGTCGCCAATGTGACACAGGACGTCTTTACGCTTTGCATGAGGACATCCGGCATCACCCAAAACCCATTTTGAAAGCATGATACAACTCTTTCCCATGAAGAGGTCCTAATACGAGCACCGCCATTGCCGTGCATTTACAATAAGTGTGTGTGTGTGTGTGTGTGTGTGTGTGTCCCACCTGCCAGCTGGTATAAAAGGAGATGTGGAGGCGAATTAGGTGTCAGAAGGGGGGCCGCTATAGGGAGCTTATAGTGCTAGAAAAACAACTTTATGCTCTATAGTTTAAGGATGTTTGCTAAATTATTTCTGCATTTGTTTTTTTTGTGTTTTTTTAGAGGAAGGAACCCCAATAAAGGACGAAGATGCTGAAAAACCTAAAGAGAAGCCAAAAGAGGACACCGTGAAACCGAGGCCGCTGCATAAAACGCTGTCTCTCTTTATGCGAAGCATTGCCCCAAACATCTCCAAGGCAGAGATCACCTCGGTGAGATACCTCCTCTCATAGCCATCACTGTCGCTTTGAATATGTTTTCACTGCTGCTACAATGAGATGACTCTGTTTCATTTTACTGTGACATTTCACTCTCCTCTCATCCCTCCTTCCATGTCTGGACCATTCGTCCGGTATTTTTTATTCCCAACCATTCCAGCAGTTAAAACCTGCTGAGTGTGCCATTCCAGCTTCCTCTGTATCTCACACAGTTTTTTTTGTTTTTTTGCTTGGTTTTTATCAGCTTTGCAAGAGATATCCCGGATTCCTGAGGGTGGCACTTTCCGATCCCCAGCCTGAGAGGAGGTGAGAAAATGAAATAGTTGTGACTTTTAAAAATAAATCTGCTCTAGAGATGAGAAGGTGCAGTAAGAGCCTGGTTCTGCTGCTCCGTAACCGGTTTAATTCAGAATGAAAGTACTGTACAGAGGGACCACCTAGTGTACATTTTAGGAACAAATCATACAGTGTGTTATGGCAGTCACTGCTAACCTCTGTGCCCAGGATGTTTGAGGCCTTATGGGACATGTAGTACAGAAACATCTTTGTTACTAGGGTTAGCCATTACTGCACACTCTGGTAAAGGGGTTGATACCCCAAGTCACATTTCGTGGTTACTAGGATCAGTTTGCTTTCTGTGTGTTAGCCTTGTTTATTGAAGCGGAGTAAAATCCCTGCTTCTCCATTAAAAACTGCAGATCTCGTGTGCTGCCTTTACAAGCCCTCCCATTCTAACCCTGCCCAGCCTGTATGTGGCTGTTCAATCACAAACTTCCTCAGTAAGAAGTCTTTGCAAGGCAGGTGTTCTGGGCAAAAGCTGCCTCTTGAGTTCAGTGCAAATAAGCTAACAAAACCTGTTGCCTGCTTGAAAAGCCAGAGGGGCGTAACCAGGTTAATTTACAAGAGTAAATATCTGAAATCCTGCACTATTTCCAAAATGTAAAAAATAGGTTCCCTAATGTGCAGCCATTTTTACGTATGTCAAGACACTGCTAATGGACACAAATTATTTTAACTATGCAGGTCCAAAAGAATTGTTTGATCAAACACTTGAAAAAAAATTTTTTTTTTGCAGGTTTCTCCGTCGGTGTTGGGTGACATTTGATCGAACTGTTAATATTAAGGAGATCTGTTGGAACCTTCAGAATATTCGGGTATAAAGAACATTTTATCTTATATCTCTTTTGTTTTTCCTCCTCCCTCTGGTCTATAACTTAGTTTTCTCTTTTGCAGCTTCGTGAGTGTGAGTTGAGTCCAGGAGTAAATCGGGAACTCTCATGGCGTGTTCGCAACATTAGTGGTCTGTCTCAGCACCGACCTGTACAGCGCAATGACATCAAACTGGCTGCAAAGCTCATTCACGTCCTGGATGAGAGGGGGCAGGTCTGGAGTGCATCCCAGGAAGGAGGAGAGGTAGAAAAAATGTCAGCCTTTAGTGATTTTGGAGGTTTACTCTTGCCTTTTATTAAGCAACTTTGTTCTTTTCTTCCCCCACAATAGGCTGATGGGCAGAATCCCATTCTAAAAAACATCACCGATTACCTTATCGATGAGGTCAATGCTGAAGAGGAAGAGCTTTTATGGGGAACTGGAAGGACTCCTGAATCTGAAGCCCCAAAAGAAGGAAACCCCACAGAGATTGTTGTTGAAAGAGATGAGAAACTTGTCAAGGTTTGTGGAAACGTCTGTGCGGTGTATACGTGGCGTAGTGTGAGAGAGAGGGAAAATGTGCTAGTCTCTGAGCTCTCCTCAGCTGTAAAATCATGCCCTATTGCTCTGTATTGTACCTCCCAGGTCCTGGATAAACTCTTACTTTACCTCCGCATTGTGCACTCTGTGGACTATTATAACACCTGTGAATATCCCAATGAGGATGAAATGCCCACACGCTGTGGAATCATGCATGTACGAGGGCCGGTGCCTCCCAATCGTGTCTCACATGGAGAAGGTAATTGGTTTACGGTCTTCCTTTTCATATGGAAACTTGGGATAGTAATATGGAGGAACCAAGAATTTGTTCTTACTGTCTTTTATTTACAGTTTGCTGTTTTTTTTTTTGTTTTTTTGTCAGTGGCTGAGTGGCAGAAGAACATGGAGGAGAAGCTGGCACCACTGTTTGCAATACGTGAGACCCTCTCTGAGGAAGAAGCAGTCAAAATGGGCAAGAAAGACCCTGAACAGGAAGTGGAGAAGTTTGTAATGGCAAACACGCAGGAGTTGGGCAAGGAGAAGTGGCTTTGCCCTTTGAGTGGAAAGAAGTTCAAGGTCAGGACATTACTAGGGAGCAAGGCAACGTGTTAAAGGAAATTTTTTTTTTTTAATGTTCATTTCTCTATTAACATGTTTGGGCAGTGCAAAGATCTGACCCAAAGGAGTCTGCTGCAGGCGGGACGTTTTAAATACTGATGCCAGCATGTGCTGGAACTATAGCTCCATGGTTGGCAGTTAACACTCATAACCATAACAAATACAGACTGCTTTTAGAACACTATAGAATCCCTTTAAGTGAAGATTTAGAAACCTGAATGTGTATGAGTAACTCTTTGTTTGTTTGACAGGGTCCTGAATTTGTGCGCAAACACATCTTTAACAAGCATGCTGAAAAAATAGAGGAAGTTAAAAAGGAGGTTGTGTTCTTCAATAACTTCTTAATGGATAGCAAGAGGCCTGCACTTCCAGAGGTCAAACCTGTCCAGCCACCAGTGGCTACCACTGCTCAAGGTAAGGTCACGAGTCCTTCTGACAGTTCATGTTGTCTTGTGTCAACACCATAAGTCTCAAGACAGAGTTGCCTATTTACAGATTTTTATTTTTTTTTAATTTTTTTTTAGCTTTGGCGCCCAGTCTTCTTTATCCCCATCAGGGACATCAAGCACTCTTACAGTATGGCCAGCCGCGACCCCCTGTCCTGGGCTATGGTGGTAAGTATGAGATTGTTTGTTCCAGAAGTACTGTTTGTAGATTGTGTGAAATGTTGCATGGTACCAAGAACAGTCTCTTCCTACAGCAGGTCCTCAGTTTTCACCTGCTCCATACGGTGCTGGCCGTGGTGCTTATGATGCTTTCAGAGGTCAGGCAGGTGTGTACCCAGGAAAGCCACGCAACAGGTGAGTACATGTGGCCTAATTTGTTTTGGAACAAATAGTTTCCCGTTATCTCTTCCCTCATGTTTTCTTTACTCTCCTTGCAGGATGATCCGAGGCGATCCCCGCTCCATTATTGAATACCGAGACCTTGATGCCCCCGATGATGTAGATTTCTTTTAACTGCAAGTCTTTATTTTAGCTGTTTATGGTCGTTACATGTCCCTCCCCATCCCACCTAATGTTATACCCAGAACCTATCCCATTCTCTGGTTACTTTTATATTTTTTCAGGATGCCTGAGATTTGTGTTTTTTTCTTTTTTTTTTTTTTCTTTTTCAATAAACAGATTACCAGAGCATGTTTTGTGTTTTATTGATCTAAACCCTATGTGGGATTGTTAATGGTGCTTTGGGGAGGCAGCAAGGATGTTTTAGAGTAGTTGTAGTACCTGGGGAATTGCTATGGGTTTCACTAGGCACCATGACCACGTAAGTGATTTGAAGGGGTCATGGTGCCTAGAGTCTGTAACACTGCACGTACAAAGTTAATCCACTCATAACCATATCCGGCAGCGACATTGAGGTGTCGTAACCAGCCCAGAGCAAGAGAGTGACTAATGTAAATTTCCCCTTAGCAAGTGAACAGCAGCCAATGGTGACACAGCTCCCCTACTGCTACCACCATACCACCCATGTAGAGCTTGGCATTGGAACAGAGGTACATTTTAGCAGTTTCTTTCTGGGAGGGAGGAGTGCAGTATAGGAACTTTTTTTTTTTTTGGGTTCGACAAACCCTTTTATTATACTTGTAACACTCCAATTCATTCTGCAGCACTGTTATAGGAGAAATGATAGAATGTTGGCTTCAGGGGAGGTTGGAGGAGTTGGGAATGTTAGCTTTGGGGAATTGTTAATGGTTGGTTTGTGGAGGTTAAAGGAGTAAAAGAATGGGTAGTGCTGGCTTTGGGGAGGTTAAAGGAGTTAGGGAATGGGTAGTGCTGGCTTTGGGGAGGTTAAAGGAGTAAAAGAATGGGTAGTGCTGGCTTTGGGGAGGTTAAAGGAGTTAGGGAATGGGTAGTGCTGGCTTTGGGGAGGTTAAAGGAGTAAAAGAATGGGTAGTGCTGGCTTTGGGGAGGTTAAAGGAGTTAGGGAATGGGTAGTGCTGGCTTTGGGGAGGTTAAAGGAGTAAAAGAATGGGTAGTGCTGGCTTTGGGGAGGTTAAAGGAGTTAGGGAATGGGTAGTGCTGGCTTTGGGGAGGTTAAAGGAGTAAAAGAATGGGTAGTGCTGGCTTTGGGGAGGTTAAAGGAGTAAAAGAATGGGTAGTGCTGGCTTTGGGGAGGTTGAAGGAGTGGTGGGAGCCTTAAATAGGTTCACGATAAAAAAAACCCTACTACCCCCTTCACTCTAATAATAGTGGGGGATAAGCTAGGGGAAGATTTCAATGTCTGTTGTCAGCGTGCCATGCACATTGACAGCAGACATAGTTTATGCACAGAATTTACATTAGGCAGCCCACAATAGTTATTGGCTGCCTAAGTCACATCTGTTGGGAGATGCATCTTGACCCTGACTCATAATTGGAAATAACTTAGTATGTGCAGTGTTTAAAGCTGAAACACTGCACATACGAACTCCTATCACCATGACCACTTCAAATCACTGACATGGTCCTCCTAGTGGTTGGAGTGACTTTTGAAGCCAGCCAATCAGAGTGCTCTAACAGCTAAATCGTGAGACTGACTGGTACGTCCCTCCTACCAACTCCCTTCGCATGCGCTCCAAGCTGGCCACTGGTCCAATCACAGGCTTTTGTAAGAAGGGAAGATTTAATATCCTATATACTCAAATGGGGATCATAGGGTGACGGGGAGATCTAGGGAGCACAGCAGTCCACCGCTTCTATTTTTAAATGTTACCAGGTGGGAGCCGGGACCGGTAACGACATGCAGGATGAAATTTCAACCAACAAGCAATTCATTATTTGTTTTACTCATTTCTATTTGTTCAGTGTTCTTTTGGATGAATGGCCGAATAGCCAAAAAAAGCAAAAAGTTAGATGAAAACATGTTGGTCCAAATGCCCAAGTCTGTTATGTACTCTGGATTCTGTTCTGGACTTTGGCCTATCATGTGTTTAAGTGTTTGCTTTGCATTTGAGTTATCCTCCCTCTAATATTGGGAGAAGCAATTGGCCTCTTAAGATGTGAGACAGGTGCTGATTAGACTGAGCGCTCTTCCCATTTATCTAATTGAGTTTGGTAACATTTGCTTACTCTTACAAGTCCAACAATACAAATTGTATTTTTTCTGTCGAATGGTGGGTTTGCCCTTCCCCCCCCCCCCGGGACAAGCATCTGTAAGACAGTTTAATATGCGCAAATCCCTTCCCCTTGCCCTAACAGGGCTACCAAGGCAAATCTACCCCAGTTCCTTTCCTTGTCCCTGTCAGGGATGGACTGGCATCTGTTGGGAGGTGAGACACACGGGTTGATGGTCTGGGGTATCCGGCCCGATAGCTGCCCGGGTGGTATGCTGAGCGTCCATGCTACTGCCTCGGCGGTTACGGAGTGAAGATTCTAAAGCTCTCTTATGCCGACAAGGTTTCCGGCGTCTTCATGGAGGCCGTCCTGGGCGCAGGTATGACTTAATTAGCTCTGCGCACAGTGTTGGAATGCACGCCCGGGAGGTGATGCATTCCACCAAATGTTACGATTGTGCATGCGCCAACCGGAACTTTAATTAAAAAAAATTTAAACATGTGAAATTTGAATTTCCGCAAATATAAAGCTATGCAGGATTCTTGCCAGAAGAGGTACGCAGTGTCACCAGCCACCCCCCCACCCCCCCAAACGGCTCAGGTATTTTGAGGTGAGATCAAATATTTACTTTACAATTATCTCTGTAGAAACATATTTTAAAAAGGACACGTTTTAAAATCGTGCCATTATTTTCTGTTTTCAGATATGTCTAGTCCTCTTTATACAGTAATGGAAAAGGAAAAATTGCCTACGCCTAGAAAGGCTACATCAAAATCTAAGCATTTAACTTGGGGTTTGTGTGCAAATCTGCTTCCAGATGGCACGAGGAAAAAAGTATGCAACCAGCGTACTACAATTTCCTTGGAAAAGTCTCTGAAGACATGCAATCTTCCCTAACCTGGTTTCAGGATAACTTGTCCCAGACCTTGGATGCTATTAAGGAATCTAAGAGTTTCTGCTGCAATTCCTGAAATGAGTCAAAGGGTGAAAAGGAGATCATCATCTTCTTCTGGATCTGAAATGTCATCTGGTGAATGTTCTCCCTCCACGGATTCAGACATGTCTAGTTTATCGTGAAATGCTTGGGTTCCCTCCAAAGGAACTACGCAAATTTATGAAGGAAGTAAACCTGATTATGATAACAGACATATCTGCAAAATCAAAAAAGGGTTTGCATGTTCAACAGCCACTCATTGATTTAATTTACAGAGTGGAAAAATTAGCCTTTATTTCCCGGCACTTTAAGGAAATTTTTAAAATCACTGGTGACGAAAATTGGGAAGAGCTTCCTAAAGTGGATGTCCAGGTAGCTCAACATTCTAAGAAAACTACTATCCCTATAGGGGAAGTTTCAACGTTAAAGAACCCTATGGACAAAAGAGCTGAGACCTGCAGGCGAACCTTTAATACAGCGGGTTTTCAGTGTAAAGCCTTAGCGGGAGCTACGGTAGCCAGAGCTAATTGCTTTTGGCTCAAAGCATTGCAGGACATGATTCCAGAAGATCAGGATAAACTTATCTGATTGTTCCAGAATTTATGGTTGTCAAATCAATTTTTGATGGATATGACTGGAAGTTTTAAAGCTGGCATCTAGGATCATGGGTTTATCCTCGGTAGCAAGGCAAGCTTTATGGTTAAGATCATGGACGGCTGATACAGCGTCTAAATCGGTCCTTTGTGAGCTTCCTTTGGAAAAGCAGAAGCTGTTTGGGTCTCCCTTAGAGGAAATCATAAAACAAATGTCAGAGCCTAAGAAGGCTCTACCTCCGGAAAGGAAATTTGCATGGAAAGCAGGTAACAGGAATTTCCAGTATAGAAACAAAATATCATACCAAGAGAGGCCTCATTATTTTCAAAGGAAAGGAAAAAGTTGGTTTTGAACAAAGAGGCGATTTCAAGAGATCTGAAAGAGCGGACAGAGGTTAACGTCTCTGACGCCAAACGTGTGAGGAAGAATTCAACGGTTCTACCATACATGGGAAAAGACTACAAGCAATCCATGGATTCTAAATCTAGTACGAAACGGCTACAAAATACCCTTCACGAGAATGCCAAGATCAAATTTTCCGTTTACCCATCCTCAAAAAACTCAGAAGCCCTGCTTTCCCAAACTATTTTACTTTTTCAGAAAGGGGTTATAGAGAGAGCTCCAGAACATCAAAAGGGGTGTATTCAAGACTTTCTCGTTTCAAAGCCAGACCACTCTTTTCGATCTATTCTGGATTTGAAAGTAATCAGTCGGTTTATTTCATATCAGAGGTTTCGCATGGAGTCAATTGCCTCTATAATTCCGATCCTGCAAGAAGGCGACTTCATGGTAAAACTAGATCTCAAAGACGCATATCTGCACGTCCCGGTTGCTGTTTCATCAAGAAAGTTTCTAAGGTTTGCAGTGAAAAGGGGCAGGACTTTTACTGATGATATAATTGTTGTGACACGTTTTCCTGTTTTGAAATATTTGTGTTCAGCAAAGTCTCCCGAGTATAACAGTACCCCCAATGTACAGGTTTTATAGCGTTTTTGAAAGTTACAGGGTCAAATATATGGGTCAAATATTTTTACATTGGAAAAAAGACAGGTTGGTTACGTTGCCTTTGAGAGCGTATGGTAGCCCAGGAATGAGAATTACCCCCATAATGGCATACCATTTGCAAAAGAAGACAACCCAAAGTATTGCAAATGGGGTATGTCCAGTCTTTTTTAGTAGCCACTTAGTCACAAACACTGGCCAAAATTAGCATTCAATTTAGTTTTTTTACTTTTTTCACACAAACAAATATGAACGCTAACTTTGGCCAGTATTTTCGATTAAGTGGCTACTAAAAAAGACTGGACATACCCCATATTGAAAAAAAAATATGTTCATGTTGGGTGTTATACAGAGATTTATGACAGATAATAGTGTTACAATGTCACTTGATAAATTTTAAAAATGTATGTTTTGAAACCACAATATCCTACTTGTATCTATAGTCCTATAACTTGCAAAAAAAAAGCATGTAAACACTGGGTATTTTTAAACTCAGGACAAAATTTTCAATCTATTTAGCAGGTTTTTTTATTCGCTTTTGTAGTAAATAGATTTTTCAAGTAAAAGTCAA